CAGTAGTGCGTTTCAGTTCCCCGAGAAAAATTCAGGGAAAATTAGGGACAGCTTTCAAGCGCACTGTGAAGCCGTGTTCGGACCCGAAACGAGTAAGGACCCCTCACCGTATTTCTATCACGGTTTTAAAGTCCAATAAATGATAAAACGGTATTTCATGAATCAACGAATGTGTGAAATTGCTTAAGGTCGCTAATGGAGCCCGAGTCTAGTGTGTTTGTCGGTTAACTGTTATTTGGCCTGTTTTACAGTTTTAAATACAGCATGAGCTTCGATGTTTTCATTTTATAGTTTCGTGTGCATATTCTACTGTTTTATTGATTATGGATTGAATGACCGGGATATTGGTGCTATATGTTGTCTGTTTGGCATAAATTATCGTTTTACTTGTTTGTATGTGATTGATAATGCTGACTGAGGGAAAAGGAGAATGAAAGATTATGTGAATGGAAATTGTATAATGTGTTCAGCCCGACTAGATATCCTGGGAGATGGTGGACGGACCGGGTCCGTAGGGAACCCTACCGGGATTGTGGTCTCCCATACCGAACGGGGTATGGAGATCTTATGTGTTTTGGCGCCCATACCGGACGGGGTAATGAGGTCTATGGTTTAGCTCCCATACCGGACGGGGTATGGGGACGGCCCTGGAATTTGATTTCAAGTGTTAAGGATTAACGGGTAGCGGGACCCCTATGGATCCCCATGGATACTAGTGGGCTGGTGAATTAGGAAGATATGTTCTGTAACGATTGAATTACGAAAAGTGTGATAGGTATTATGTTATACAGTTCATATATATGTTTCCATGATGATGATGATGTTATTGCTTTCGTATATTATTTTATGAATTTCACCGAGATAAGTAAATGGTAAAGGTTTTATTATCGATAAAAGAATTTGTTGTAAATTATGCTCCATTGGTCTTTTTGTGTTTTCTACCCACCTTTACCTCCGTGACGGTGAGATATCGTGATGTCTTTACTGGGCTAGTGTAGCTCATTCCTTATTTAATCATTTCAGATCAAAAGGACATCGTTCCCGAGCCGATTCCGCAGGAGGACGACGAAGGGGACGCCTAAAGACTCCATAGTCACATTCGTAGTTTTTACTTTCAAGTTTCTCCTTTAGGTAGTTTAATCTTTTCTATTTTGTGAGCACGTTTTGGTTTCAGTGTAAGGGATGTTATTCAAATTTTGACTTCGCTTCCGCATTTGATATTTTTGAATATAAATTCTATTTTAAATTTCCGGGGCTGCTACAATAATTGTACCTGAGGGTTTTGAAACAATCTCACAAATCTTTTCAAATTCTTGTCGAAAGACATTAGTTAATCAAATATTTTAAATCATCAACTTCATTAAATGATAAGTTTGATCTAGAATTTCTGGTTTAAGCAATAAATTATAGATAATACATATCTTTAGAAAATTTAAATCATAATTAAAATTCAATAAAACCATATCAAGACTAAGAAATTAGAAAATTTAAATAATTTTTTAAAAAAATATAAAACACTAGAATAGATTAAGAATTAGTCATTTGCAACGTTAAATTCGAGTTTGATAATAAAATGTCCAGGTAATTCTCATTCAAAGTATCGAATAAATATTCAAAAATTCTAAATAATGTATATGAATATTAATTAATACATAATATTTGCAATCTGAAAAACATTTACTCATGATCTTTATCAAACCCTAAGTTAAAATTTATCAAATATTTCAGGATCTAATATAAATTTTATTATTCTTGAGATTCATAACTTTTTTTTTCCATATCTAATATATATAAAAAAAAAAAAAACATACCTATACTTTCACAATTTTCAGTCATAATATATTAAGATCGTCAAACTGAAAATTAAGGTTTGAATTTTCATATTTTCATAATGTGTAATCGATTTAAAAATTGAATTCTTTCAATACCAACTGAAATTAGCAATAGTTTCTATGTAATCATAAACTGGACATATAAAATAAATATTTTAAAAGAAATAATTAACCAAAATAGTTCATCAAAAAATTTACTATCATGACTTTGCATTTTTTCAGTAATCTCTAAATATTTATGTCTATCATAATTTTGGTGTTTAAAAAATGTATAACATATAGACTAATATCTATATATTTTTTGCAATTTCAAAACCATTTTTAGGATAAAAACAATCTTTTTGAATTTTATAATCCATAATTAATGGAAATTATCAAGATTTGTCTTTAAAGGATTGCTGCTTTTGTTTCTTTATATATATATATATATATATATTAACAATGTTCAATAGATTGCTGCCCATTGGTTAATTAATTTCCGTATTGTTTGGGGCGGCAGGATTTTGAATTATTTTTATGAGGGAATTAACAAGGAAATGCTGTAAACTAATCAAAATATTTAAAATAAATATTGATATTTATCTGTTAATGAAAGTTTATTTCACTTTTTTTAAAAGAACTGTAATAATTACTTTTAAACTAAGTATTTACTAGTCTAATAGACTACTAATATAATATCTTTTTTCAGTTTTTAACTAATTTAATCATAAATAAATAAATCAAACTAATCGAAATATAAATTTTATTCAATATAAGGTAGGAGAATAAAAAAAAAATACGAAGTATCAAATTACAATATCTCCAAAGTAGAAGAAATATCAACATTCATAAAACCATTAAAATATTATTGTCGTTGAATAATAATAGGCATACCACCATTTGAGCCATGTATCCATCTTATATAGCCAACGGAAACCCTGCAGATAAAATAAGCATAATTTATTTTATATACCCCTGGGAAAAACTCCTTTTAGGACAAATTTTTTTTTTAAAAAAAAAAGTTATGATAAATGTTGGAAAATATTTCACAAAAATGCTCTCTTAAAACCTATATTTCTTTACAGGATCAAAACATGATAACATTCAACCCAAATCAAACTCAAATTTCCCCCTTTCACTAGCAGAGACCTCTGAAAAGCATAATATATATATATATATATATAAACTTCAAATGCAAAAATAAAAAATAAAAAACCCTGGCAAATACTAGTCTTTATCTCTTTTGATACTGATTTACCACAACCTACAATAAAATACAACATCAGTGACAATTTGCCAATATATAGATAAACTAGAATTTGTCAAATTAAAAGACTAGATATCCCAACTACAATGCAATCGTATGGCCTCAAAATCCACAAATCTTGCTGCTACATACTACTTACTACACGCCCAACTTCCATCTCTACCACAATAAAACATTTATATATCCTAAAGAGGGTAAAATTCATCCGGAGCTGTTTAAAAGTTACATAAGCAATTTTTAACCCACATAGTGGAAGCATCTGCCCGGCAAATTGACTCAAACCATTTTACACCACCTTCCAACAACAAACGCGTCAATCATGGGTCCTCACTTGAAACCCACTAGAACGCATTTTAATCAGAAAGCTTTCCCAACTCCTGCAATTTTAAGATGGCACTGCACAAGGAACAGATTAACCATGAAGAGTTCAATTGGAAGCACCAGCTTTTTAAATAGCATAACAATATTTGAGAACTAATAAAATTTTCACTAAAAAATTTAACATCTACCAGCTGAAACGCTGCTAGTTCCACAAATACTGTAGCGAACTTAAACTTACTGTAGCATTCTCTTTAACAAGAAATAGGCTAGCCCACAACCATCATTGTGATTAATGAAACATTCTACTCAACGGAAAACAGGATGTAGGAAAATATATCTAATTTTAGGTCAGCAATTAAAAAACATAATTAAATATGAAATGCTTAATGTACAAAATATTTGTATAAAAATTACTTATACAGGTTCTGTGGCAATATAATTGAATACTACATGTAAGGTAAATCACCTGATTTTTCAAACCAAATCAATTGCGGAATAAAGCTTAAAGAGGTCCAGGGAAAACACATGCTTGTCGCTGGATGATCAGAGGCATATCATTTCAAGACAAATTTAGTTGCCCTAATTAAAATCTTAGAACTTTTGAAGGTCTTTAATTAGGAAAAAAAAATCAACACTCACAACACTACTTAGCACGTGTTAGATTTGGCTTATTAACCCTTTGACCGCTATTCTAAACCATCCTCATAAAAAAAAATACTAACCTGCATCACTTTACTTTCTTTTATTATAGTAAAGATATTTAATTTTATATAGAAATTAATAGAATATCTCAATTAGTACAATTTAAAAAAAAAAAACATTTTTTCATAAACTTTGTTTGAAATTATTTTAGACAAAAAAAACAGTTAGATGATTGTTAATCAAAAGAGCAACCGAATGCAACTTTTGGTCATTCAGGCACCTGCTAATTTACCTGACTTTTTGCAGCTTAGTGTCTAAAGGTCAGAGAAAAAAATTCATGTATCAAACATTTCTTAAGCTCAAAGCTCACTGGGGCAAAAAACCATATAGAGTTGAAGCAAAAAAAAGATCCAAACAGCATTTTACAAAGAGAAAAGTCAGAAAAGTAAAAAATCAAAGTGATATCAATGATTCACAGCATTAACTAAAAAAGATGAAACACTAATAATCACTGAGTCCACATCAAGAATGAAATTTTTAGCATAAATGGGATGAAATGATTAAGGCCAAGTGCCTAGAAACTTTAAAAAACTTTGGGATAGTAACAACGTTTAAGACTCCTTTTTAAGACACAACGATGAAATAAAAAAGGGTTTTCCCTGCAAGGACTATAGCAAATAAGTAGACATCAAAAAATTAAGTAAAGGCTTGAGAAAACATACTGTATGTTGATGTATCAATCTGCTCTGGCAGCTCCTTTATGTCCACCTCAAACCTCTCTTGAACCTATAATCATTGGATGAAATTTTTCAACACCTAGAACGACAAAAAGAAAAAAGAATTTTTGCGGTTTCAAATTTTCAAACCTGATTGAGTACATCGGAGTCTGAAGCAGACGAAACAAACGTGATTGCAAGACCTTTGGTGCCGAATCTACCAGCTCTACCTACCTGCCACAGACCCAACAACAAACACCATCAGTCAAGAGACATGAAGACAATTTCTCATATCCAGATGCTGAAGAATGTTTAACAAACTTACCCTGTGAAGGTAAGTGTCAGCAGAATCCGGCATGTCGTAGTTGATGACAATGTTTACACGTTCAATGTCAATTCCTCTACCAACCAAATCAGTTGCAACAAGAATTCGTTTATGCCCCTCCTTGAAACCCTTGTAGCGAGTCACCTAGAAACAAACATGCCCACATTTGGTAA